GAGACAGGGTTGCTCAGGCTGGTCTCGAACTGCTGACCTTTAGCAATTCTCTTGCCTCGGCCTCCTGGAGTGCTAGGATTATAGGCGTGAGCCACCTCTCCCAGACCAATAGGTCTAACTTACTGCTAAAAGGAATCAGAGCTCCTGTGAGAAATGGCTGATTGCAGATCTGGGTCAAAAAATACACGGGATGGGCCAGCAATATCTTGTGGTACCCGAAAGTCAGAAAGCCAGCCAAGGCTACCAAGGTCACATTAAAAGGACTCAGGGGCCAAGCTGAAAAGGCTCCTAGTAGCCAAAGAAGGATAAGACAGTTTGATTACCAGTAAGAATAAAAATTCTGTCCAGGCCGGGCGCAGTGGCTCACGCCCATGGGGGGATTGCTCAAGGTCAGGAGTTCAAACCCACCCTGAGCAAGATCGAGACCCCATCTCTACTATAAATAGAAAGAAATTAATTGGCCAACTAATATATAGGGGAGAGAGATCCAGGGCTAAGAGGGGCGGGAGGGTATGTAGGGTCATCTACATGAATGTTGTTGACGAGGCTGACACTGGCCAGGAGATGAAATCAGTAATGAATAAAGTGCAGTCACCCAGGAAGGGGAGCGAGTGGCTGTGGAAGGCGCCGCGAGGAAGGCTGCTGGGTTTGTGCAGTCTTATGGTATCATTTTCAACGTTGGAGGGGGCTTAGGCTGAGTGCAGGAGAATGGTCTGAAGTTGGAGTGACGAGCAAGGAAGATGTCTATGCCATCTCCAGGCCCACGGTGTGAGCAGTGTGGGAGAGGAAACAGCAATAGACATATTGGCCTTAAAACTTTTTTTTTTTTTTGAGACAGAGTCTCGCTTTGTTGCCCAGGCTAGAGTGAGTGCCATGGTGTCAAACCTAGCTCACAGCAACCTCAAACTCCTGGGCTCAAGCAATCCAATCCTGTCTCAGCCTCCCCAGCAGCTGGGACTACAGGCATGCACCACCATGCCCGCCTAATGTTTTCTATATATATATTAGTTGGCCAATTAATTTCTTTCTATTTATAGTAGAGACGGGGTCTCTCTCTTACTCAGGCTGGTTTCGAACTCCTGACCTCAAGCAATCCGCCCGCCTCGGCCTCCCAGAGTGCTAGGATTACAGGCGTGAGCCACCGTACCCAGCCTGGCCTTACAACTTAAACAACAAAAACAAGACCAAAAACTGTATGGCAAATAGCATCAAAGGTAAGAGTAAGAGCCCAGAGACAGGCTGAGGGAAGTCATCAGCAATATGTGTAAACATGCACAATGTTGGCATTCCAAATAGGTCAGTAAGGAAAACAAGGTAACCCCAAAGACAAATGGGCAAAGGACACACACAAAATTTCACACAGGAGGAAACTTGAATACCCACCAGGAAAGAGCACGGTACCTAGTCACCTGGTCAGGGGGGACACATGACTCTGATTATCACTAAAGTACCATTTCATACTCTTCAAAATGGCAACACCCAAAAGTCTAATTATGTTCAACGTTGGCAAGGATGTGGAGCCATGGGGAATCTACCACACTGCTCATGTGAATATAA